CACCTTTCTCCCCAAAAAACAGACTAATCAGAGGCAAACGAATAACCACACGAAACGGAAGTCGCCACCCAGGACTACGGTGCTGTCTTTTGGAGTGATTATAGTATAGTTATAAATCTAAATTTACTGCAGACTACACAGCAAGTCTTATTTGGCGAAATATTCTACAATGATGCTTTTATATTTAAATCTGAAAAAAAGTAATCGTCCGTTGCGCGCGTGTGCGTCATACACACACCCAGACACACATACAAAGGCTCAAGGTGAGAAACCAAACTGGAAAATATCCGAGACAGTTTATCTCTGTAATTCATCAAAGCTATGTATAAGTAGGGTCCCAAAACACTCCCCCCCCCCCCCACTGTGTTCTCTTTTTTCCCCCTTGTAAATGTCAGTTCTGATTTTGGGGGAGGGGTGAATTTCTGAAACTCAGAGGAGTTCTTTTTTTTTTTAATTATTATTTCTGATGCACTTTGTGGAGGTCAGTATATATGTAAAATATATTTAAAATGTTGAGTTAACATTTCACTCACACCAGTAATTTAAGGTTGTTTAAAGAGATTAAATGCGTTTATCTGTATTGGAAAAAAATCTTGACATAATATTTTCATTTTGGTATTATTAAAGGATTCTGAACAATGCGCTCTGGGGTTTCATTTTCCCCTAGTCAATCCCGCCGTTTATTTACTTTTATTGCAATCTGACCCCCCTCTTCATAGACATTGCACCGACGGGATTAAAACAATAGTTGCAATGTTAAACAGATTAATTAGGAATTAAATCCCATTGCAATCAATACGACTTATTCTGAGTAAACATGTTTATGATTGTGATTAAATATATTAAAATTCTGTGCACCATTCATACTAAAGAACAAACTTCAATTAAGAACTCTCCCAAATGATGGGTGCCAGAATTTTAAAGACTGTAAGTCAACTCCCCACCCCCTAAAGAAAAAAAAATTAGGACTGAACCCCTTGAAGTCAGTGTCCAAGTCCCACTGACCTGAATGTTAGAAAGAGACATATAAGGAGCACAACTTGCTAAAGCGACAGGGCTCTCTAGCAAAGAATGAGAGAACCTTAAAACTCATCCCGGATCTCAAAGCCTATTTCCATAAAACTGAGAGCCGGTAAAAAAGGATTTGAAATGATAAACGTGGACCGAGCAAACATTTATTAAAACGGATGCATGTGAAATCTACACCAAGGTGGCTCAGGTTACAGAAGGCAATCCCACGGGGAATAAATCGCAAGAGACATTTCATGCCTAAATGAAAATCTTGTTAAATGTTATTAATTTTGACTTGGAGCACATAGCAGCCCCCTGTGCCTTGTATTCCCTTATTAGAGATTCATGTCTTATCAAATATCTAATTAATCTCCTAGACATCATTTGTTCTGGCCAACTTTATCTCAGCTGGTCCACGGGGAAAACCCCTCAGAATGTTCTCAGTGACAAAGCTTCCCTGGAAGATCCTTTTAATTGTCGAAATGAACTGCGCCAAATTTGCATGTCAAACGGTAAAGGGCAACGTGAGATAAAATGTAAACGTTTTAAAAGCCTTCCAAACTCAGCACTTGATTTGATAACTGGGCCTTTTTAATGTTATGGAGGACAACTGCTCTTTTTCTTTTCAAAAGATAGTTGATCTATGCAAATCGTGGTTTGGAAATGCTTATGTCCCCCTGCAGTCAAATGCCCCTTGCATGTTATTTGAATATCAGTGGCTCTGCCGTTGAAAAGGTTCGAGGATGCTCTCTGACTTCTTTGTGATTACGCAGTGCAGCGTCTTATTCTGAAGGAAAGGGAGGGGGGGACCTCAGGAATAATTAAAGCCTGGGATAAGGCCTGGGAACACATTTGGGACAGGAATCTCATTTAGACAGCCTCTTTCAAAATAAGGCACAGTTAAATTGACCAGAAGGCAATTATTGAAATGAAAATTATTTTCACTCCCTTTGTCTTCTGACCACCAACTTAACAGCCACAGTGTATTTCTAAAAGAGGAAAATCGTTCCAATCGTCTCCTCCTTAATTGCGCTACTTTAAAGAGGGAAAGAGAAACGAGTGGAAGGGGAAAAAATTAAAAGAAATTTTGAACTGAACGGTTCAGAATGAAAGGTTAAAATATACTTGCAGCTTTTCTGCCCATTTGGTTATGGAAATTTACACACACACACACACACACACACACACACAGAGCGTATGCTTATAAGTATGCGTGGGCAGATATATATTTCTTTCTTCTGGAAACGGATTGGCAATCAAGAAGGAGAACCAGGCTGCCAGGAGGCTCTGAATAAAAACATCTGTTACATCTCCCGGGCAGAACTCGCACTGAGTTTTCCACCACTATTGTGCTAAAATACAGTCTTAGGAAGGGGGCTAAAATATTTCCCAGAGCTGCATAAAAACGATGTAAACCGAGATTCCTGTGAGTTTGGGAAGAGTTATTTGGGGGAATCGAAGGGCAGTTTTGATTTATGTATCGGTGGCCATTCTCTTTCCCTCTCTCATTCTTTCCTCTTTAATCTGGTGAAGGCGGGAGTCGCGAGCAATCTTTCTCTTCTCTCCGGCTGGTCTGTTTGATCCCCTTGTTCACGATCCGGTCGTGAGCCTAAACTTGCGGAAGACGACCCGAGGGTGTGAAGTTTGCGAACGTCCATTTCTTCCCTCCCCCCTCCCCGCTCCCTTCGCCACCGCGTTTGTTTGCTTTGGAGCCTTTTTGCCCTGGATCTGTGGGGGAAGGAGACGGTGGCATGGGGCGAGGGAGGACGTGCTCGAGCAGGGTCCAAGGCGGCAGAGCTGGGCGAGCGGCAGGATGTGGCTCCTCTCCCACCCCCACCCGCCCGC